CTGTTGTTTACTTTCAATTTTAATTCCTTGAAAACACATGAGATGTCCTGAGCTTATCATTAGAAAGATGTCACAGAAATTAAAAGAATCAAGAATTCCTATACATAAAAACAGCTTTGTAAGTGAGAAGTCAATGCACCAACCCCGTCAGTCTACTGATGCAAAACCACAGATTAAAAAGTATGTATCTCTTCCTGAGAATAGTCACTAACTACATTCCATTAATTGTTCAACTAGTGTAGATCTACAGACTTAATCTTGGCTGGATATTTTAGTAGTTTTTTTTTTTGGTGTTGTTTTTATTCTTTTATATGCTTGTCAGCCATAGCTGGGTCTGCTTGCCATTCTCCGTTTTTAGCTAATAATCCACAACAAACGTCTAAAGCTACAAAATAATTACAATAATCTCTTTCAGAATAGAGGTTGATATAAAAGCATGTAATAGAGACACTGAATTGTGTGATTACAGAGACATCTCTTTAGATTTTTGATATTTTCTCTGCTAAACTACACGGAATCATCCCCACAGCACTAAACGTGAATTCTGAGTCCAGTTGGAATTAGCAACATCTCTGGGCTGTGTCTGGCTTGATATGTGTTTGAATTATGGTCTTGTGGAAATAACCAGAGTCAAGAGGTCTGGCTTCTGATGCTTCCTCTGTCACCTACTGGGTTATGTGACCTTGGATTTGTTTGTGACCTCTCCAACTTCCTTACCCTGAGTCTTAAATAAGATAAAGCAGAGATATTTAGGATAGCTCCCAAACATGCTACAAATGAAAAGGATTTTATTATTAACAAGCTCATTTTTAACTCTAATCAGGTTTGTACCTGGTTTGCTGACATATTTGGATCTCTGCATCCAGTCTCATTTTTTTACTTTATCCCGAAGTTCATTCTGTTTTTCCATTTGCCATCTTCTTGACAAGCCACATCAACACCCTCAGCTGGGAATTATTGCCTTCTTATTTTCCCCTCTTGATGCCAGAGTTGCTGTTGACAATATGTATTCAGGAAAGCAGGGGCTCACTGCATTTCACAATCAGATGCCATGCACACTACTTCCGTCAAAACAATTAGTGTTCATTTTGGCTTTACTCGGGGAGACCTGCGGTGACTGATCAGTATAAATTATAGATGCATCTGTCCAGATGCACTTGTTCATTCATGCATAGATTTGAGGAAATTTCATTCTTTTCAGTTCAAAACCAGTCACTAAAAAAAAAAAAATCCGTTTTTAAAAAATATAATTTAGCACATGTTCATCTATGTCATGATGCTCATATACTCGTACATTCCATCTATGATTAGAAGCATCTGAAATTGGTTTGAGGCATTTCTGGGTTGTTATACACCCCCTCAATATAATCTGCTTGCCTTTATAAATCATTAAGAAATGATGATGTCTCTGCCTGCTCAGGACTTTTAATGCATTTAAAGGAAGGCGAAGCAAGATGATCTTCAAATAAGCAATATAGGTTAGTACTCTCCCTGTTCCAAGTAAGCCTTTGATTACTTTGTTTCGTATTTGTTTTAATAAGCAGCTAGAGGAAATTTCAGGGCATGTCGCATTATATAACAAAAGGATCTATATTATTTGTATAAAATAGGTGGAATGACTCCCTTAAATATAATGGAGAGGGTCTGTATTTGATAGGTTTACTTACTTGCTTCAATAAAATTCATGGACACATATACAATTGGGCATTTCCCCCAAAACCAAATTAATCAGGGTTAAACAAAGCAATGAAGAGAGCCAGGATGATAGCGAAGCTCACAGCACTCTATTGCGGGAGTGGTTACCTGTCAACAGTCAGGATGAGAGCCAATGCCACCACAGCTTCGCTGAAGCAGACTCTTCCACAAACAACTTCTTTTGACCTGAGGTTTCTGCCAGAGGTTGATTCTGGTTTAGCCCTCTGGCTTTGTTTTGTTATAAGGGTCCCAAAATAATAGGAAGAGTAGGCACACTTCCTAAGAACCATTTTGGGGGAGACTTCATACATGCTCAGGGTGGTGACAATCAAATGTCAGCGGCACAGGGGAGCTTTGCTGTGGGTGCAGCCTCTCCCTAGGAAAGAAATGTTAAATCAAGGTCTCCCATGCCTCCCCTCCTGGGAAGACATGCTGGTACCCTAAAGCGCTTTGAAGACAATAGAAGAGACTTCAGCATAAAACCTGCTCTTGTTTGTTTTCTTTTTCTACATGAGAAAAAAAAACGCTGAGGTATCTTCGTAGCCCTACCTCCCAATTTACTTCACCACTGTTCCTCCTCTCTTCTTTTTCCTCTGAAAAATCTTGTTACTTTTCTCTAATCCTAGAGAGCAAAAGACAAGAGGTAGGCCTGGAGGCCCTGCACACAACATTGACACTGTGGAGGTCTTATAAATCAGCTAAAAATCAATACATTCTATATGGTAGTTTCTCCTTTGCAACCAGATCGCCAGGGGACAGAAACTAATGCTTTTTCTCCACCATCATCCCCATTTTTATGTCATAAAAAAAAAAAAATCTGCTTAGGAACGAATGGGCAATCAAAGTTGCTGAGTAAGTATTTCAACTATCTAATTTTATTACTTTACAATTGACATACCTTCCCTCTGGAAATGTTTGCAATTAATTAATTAGCAGTAATCTTCCCCAAGGGACTAATTGAATGAATTCTCTCTAAGTCTTACTTTTAAAAAAGTAGCTTAGCTGTATCCAAGCTGCAAATGTGTGGATGGTTCCAAAATGCATTTTGAAAAATCAAGGAATCTATCTATGATGGGAAATTTTTATCACTAAATCAGTCGGGTGATAACTATCATTATTTTTCCAGCTAGGAGTGTCCCAGGTTGAACAGTTTTCTCCAGGGTAACGACACTCAGCAGTAGCAGTTAGGAAATTTCGCTGGGTTTATTAGTATTTAGAATGGAGTTTGTCCTCATATTAATAATCTGGGGTGGAGGAGTCTGTGGTAAGCAGCTTATTTGAGCTCCTTGCACATTCTGCAGAATCGGTAAAGAAGAAAAAAAGCAGCAGCAGCAGATGTCATTCCAAAGAGGTTGCTGGCTTCCGGGCCTATCAGTCTCCTCTGCGAGGTGCCAGAGAAGAACCTGAAGTCTGGGATCCCGGGCAGGGCCCCAGACCTCACCCCTCCTCGCCTAGCAGGAACCCAGGTTGCTCCTAACCTCTGGGCCACACGTTCTTGCGTTTCAACTAAAAAATTAAACAGCCCTTGAAGCAACCACCCCACCCACCACCCACCCTCCCTCGATTCCTCTGGGAAAGTGAGACGAGGTCCTGGGAGAGCCGTTTGTAAACTGTAAAGCGGGGTAACCCCGCGAATGAAAGGCGAGGCTGTCTGAGGTTTCTGGGCTACAAATCTGAAAGGCCGATTTCCACTTGAATTCCAACAGCATCCGCCGAAGACCTTCCCACGCCAGACTGGCCGCTACTTTGCGCCCCCAGACGTTGCTAGTAGGAGACCCTCAGCGGGGAGGTTCCGAGCCTGGGGATTGAACCTTTGCTGTTCAGAACAGTGATTGCAAACTGGCGGCCACTTATCAGGAGGGCTAGGCCTAGAGAACGCAGACCCTTCCGGGACACCAGCGTGCTCCTCCTCCTATCAGTGCCCCTTTGAGCACCCGTGGGACAGATGGGGTGGTCAGACCCTTAGGCCCAAACTCGCGGCCCGGCCGAGAGGCGGGAATGGGCTACCCTCCCTGCGCGCTGAACCGCGGCTCGCCAGCGCCACCCCCAGCGGAGCTCAGCTGCTGCAGCTCGACCCCGCGCCTTCCTGTGGCTCCCCTGCTACCCCTTCGACACTGCGGGCTGTGCGCAGGAAGCTGCCAAACCCTGACTTCGGAGGAGCTGCCCAGGGGTCCTAGCCCGCTGTCTGCAGATGCCAGAGGTCAGATTTGGCGCGTTTCCAGGCAGTCCAAGGGGACCTGAGCCCTGGCCTCGAGGGGGCGCTATTCGGACTACTTGAGGGCCAGAAGACAACAGAGACGCCCAGGTATCAAGGCCTTGGCAAACTTGAAGAGCAGGAATCTAGCGAAAGTCCTGGGGAAACTGAGGCAGGAAGCCAGATCCCCAAGGACAAAGACAGGTGGGCTGGTGGGAAACAGCCGACGAGGCCCAGCGCTGCCCCAACGAGCGCGGGGCCTGTGATGCCAAGAAAGTTTCCTGCAGCGGAGGGGTTGGGGAGCCGGGCTGGACGCTTCTCCTCCGAGCCTCTGCTCTCTCCACCTGCCAGTGTTCAACCTCCGCCCAACCTTCGCCCACCCAGATCCCTCCCCTCCCCCGCACACCTCTGTTCACTTAGACTCCTCATCTCTCTCCTCTTCCCTCCTCCTTCTCCCTCTTGCCTTTCTCCCCCACTTTCCTCCTCTTTCTTCTCCTGTCTCTTCTGTTGTGTTCTGTCCTCTCTCACCGCCCAGTTTGCTTCTCTCCTCCTCCGGGCCGCAGGGGAGGAGGTAAGCGCGTTGCGCCCCGGGCCTGCGCGGCGCAGAGGGAGGCGTTTCTCTTACTTCTCCCGGGTAATTTGGAGAGATTGTATGCGCGCGCGCACGCGTGATTTTCAGGCAAAAAGTGGTAAGATCCAGCGCCAAGCAGAGAGGGTCAGGGTCTTTGACGTTCCTCGCCAGCTGCACAAACCTCCGGGAACAAGTGTGAGAGTGCGCGCGCGGGCACGGGCTGGCTGCGTTTGGCACGCCTGGTGGCCCGGGGCCCCAGGGCCCGAGGGCCCTCCTGGCAGCCCGGGATTACCGTGACGTCACATTGAACCTCTTGCCTTCGTGGATTGGGACACCTCGGGAGCCGCACAGCGACGTTCCGCGCCTCACCTTGCCTCGCCACCGCGCGCCTTTGGGAACCCGCATCCTCTCCCTTTCCCTGGCCATCCATGGGCCCTTCTGTCTTCCGCACCACGCGGGCGGGAGGGGCGCCTTCTGGAGCGCAGAGCTCGGCAGCCCAGCTGCCCTCCGCTCTGCCTCCAGTCGCGCCAAGCGGTCGGAGGACCCGGCTCTGGGCACCCGCAGCGGTGTAAGGAACCCAGGCGGCGCACGGCTGCAGGCGCGGAACCGCTGGACTGAGGCGGGAACTCGCAAGAGAAGAGGCAGGCGGGCTAGGGACAGCCACCATGTCGTTCCCGCACTTTGGACACTCTTACGGCAGCGCTTCCCAGGTAAGAGACACCTCCATGGGGGATGGGGGCAGACTAGGTGGAGGGAGTACCCAGTGCACGCTCCTGCCCCTGAGCGCCCTCCTCTCGCTTGAGTCCCTGGCGAAGCCGGAGAGAGCGGGACCAGGGTTATACACCACAGAGCCCTGTGACATCCCCAATCCCTGGCTGGGAACGTTCCATCCCCCTAGTGCAAGCTGAAAAATCTTGTGACCTGAAACTTAGGCACTTTGACCACGCTCTCAGGGAGGTGGGTGGGATCTCGAGTATTTTCCAGACAGGCCTCTTATTGCACAGATAGCTGAGGTGGCTGGACCTCCAGTTCAGAGAGCTGTCCTTCTCACCATTTTCTGTTGTTGTTCGTTTGTTGACCTCTGTTCTAATCCTCCCCTTTCCCTGAGTGAGTCCAAGCTTTCTGTTTCTGGCTCCTTCGATTTCTCAGACCAGGATGGGTGTCGTGCAGACAAGGGTTTCCTGAGGAAATGCTGGGGACACCCACCACTGTTCTCCAGTTTCGCACTAGAGTGCGGGGTCCAGTGCCTACCTGACCTCTGACCTGCTTTATGATCCTGAACAGGTCTCCTACTCTCTCTGGTCCTCATTCCCTATCACCAAAATGGGCATAGGAGTGAAACTTGGTAATGGTCCCTAAAGCGAAGTTCTAGCTTTGTTTTTGTAGGATCTTGTGACGGGGAGTGGGAGAAGGGGCCTGAGAAGGGAACCACCTTCTGTAATGTGGGCTTCAGAACATTCCCATCTCCCGGACCCCTGGGACTCTGAAGACGTAGGCTTAGGACAGTTTGGAGAAATTGTGTACGGATAATTCCTGTCCCAGTATTCAGCAGAATGCTTAGCGCGTGGTGGCATTTAGTTAATGTTCAATGAAGGAGTGCTTCGGCAGTTTCGCCTCGTGCTTCCGCCAGCCAGGCGTCTGTCTCTGACCTCCTGTCTCGCCCATGTAGTTTCTGGTATCTGCAAGTTCCAGCGCCACTTGCTGCGAATCCGCCCCGCGCTCGGTCCCAGATGTGACCTCAAGCGCCACCTCAGCGGCAGCTCTCTGCTGCGCACCCTATGACGGTCGGCTACTGGCCAGTGCGCGGCCCGAACTGGGCGCGGCCTTGGGCATCTATGGAGCCCCCTACGCGGCCGCTGCAGCAGCCCAGAGCTACCCCGGCTACCTGCCCTACAGCCCTGAGCCTCCTGCGCTGTACGGGGCGCTGGTGAGTATACCGGGTGGAGCCTGGCTCCGTGCGCCAGAACCCACCGGCCTGGGGACTTGAGCGGCAGCCGGAGGGTGACATCTCCAGCGAAAAACAGGAAGAACACCCAACTCCGAGGAAAGGAAATGGTTAGGATTGCATGGGGTGGGGGGGGGGAGAACATTTACAGCATTGTACAATTTGCAGAACTCCATACTGTTTAGAAAACACCAGTACCTCTATTTCTTCTGTGAGGTAGGCAAGTCACAAAGTGACCCAAAGTCACAAAAATACAAAGGGTCTGGGAATCGCTCTGGAAGGACAGTAAGGCAGGGAAGTTCCCCAGCTGGTGAGGAGGGTGGGTTGGGGGAGAACCACAAGTAGTAACAGGAATAATAACAGCTAATATTAAACTACTGCTACTCTGAACCAGGCCTTCTGCCAAACCCTCTCCTTCAATAATCTGCGGGGGAAAACAGGCATAGAATGGTTAGACAACTGTGCCCACTACAGGTCACAGCCAATTCAAGTTGACTGGGATTTGAACCAGACTTGACCCTAGAGTTCACGACCTTAGCAGCCACCACGTCCCACCTCCCCTTCAAATGTAGTCCTGAATTCTGTTACTCTCCAGCAGAATCCACAGTATGACTTTAAAGAGGCTGCAGGAAACTTTACACCAGGCCTGGCACAACCCGGAGCCTATTATCCTTATGAGCCGACCCTGGGGCAGTACCAGTATGACCGGTAAGGCAGGGGGCTCATTGGTGACCGCATCACAAGTCTCTTACCCTCCCCTGCCAAAGGTGGAGCCCACCAGGGCCGAGTCTGGGAAGAGGGATGAGCAAGGAGGGAGGGGAGCAGAACCTCACTTGGGCCTCGGACTGTCTCCAGGCTGCGCCCCAAGTTGTCAGTGTCAGCCCCAGTACCGCGAGCCAAGTTCTCCCCCCAGGTATGGAGCAGTGGAGTTCAGCGGCACTGGGCGCCGGAAGAACGCCACCCGGGAGACCACTAGCACGCTCAAGGCCTGGCTCAATGAGCACCGCAAGAACCCCTACCCCACCAAGGGCGAGAAGATCATGCTGGCCATCATCACCAAGATGACCCTCACCCAGGTGTCCACCTGGTTCGCCAACGCGCGCCGGCGCCTCAAGAAGGAGAACAAGATGACGTGGGCGCCCAAGAACAAAGGCGGGGAGGAGCGGAAGATGGAGGGTGGAGCAGAGGAATCGCTGGGCTGTCTAAACGGTGATACAAAAGGTACAAAAAATGTTCGCCACCCCACTTTACAGGTTTTCCAGTCACCAGGCAGGCTGACTGGATTTTCCCAGCTGCCTTGTGGAGTGGTTTTATGGAAGGCACTTCCTTGCTTACCCTTGCACTTGATCCCCCGCATGCCTCAGATCTTTGTGCAATTCCTTCTGCCTGGAATTCCCTGCAGAACTGGCTTCTTCTCAACTTTAACTTGCTGCCTCAATAAAAACCTTCCTTGGCCTCCCAAGCTAACTTAACCTCTCAGTTATTCTCTATCATGTCAGCCTATTTTATTTCCTTTGCCATACTTATCACTATGAGAGGGTACTTGACCTGTGTTTCCCCCTCAAGAATGTCAGCTCCACTGATGTCTTAGTCACTGAATGCCCAGTACCTAATTATGTATTCCCTAATACCTAAGTGCCTAAATGGTGATCTGCGCATAGTTGGCACTTAGTAGATATTTGCTGGATTAAAAATACACATAAGCTACCTGTGGGTATTGAAATCAGGTAAAAAACTGTCTCCTTGCATTTTTACAGTTGAGAAACTGAGATCCAGGTCTTAAGCATTGAGCGCAAAGTAGCAGTTTCCTTGGCTTGGCCTTGCATCAGAAAGGAGTATTCCAAGGGGTGGAGGCTGGGATGCGAACTGGGGTCAGTCCCAAGTTCCTAGGGTCAGTCCCCAAGCCTAGAGCAAGTGTAAGAGAGGTGTGGCCAATCTGGTGAATTACAGAGAATGCCCAGAGTGCAGGCACATCTTGCTAAAAGCTTCTCAGGGATGGGCACTCCCGAGGATTTCCCTTGGGACCTGGGGCTTTTCTCACTCGCTTCTGATTTCCTGCAGATGTTACTACTCGCCAGGAGGTTCGGGGGCTTCAGCTGAGTGACCTCGAGGACCTGGAGGATGAGGAGGAAGAGGAGGCAGAGGAAGAGGAGGCAGTGGCCACAGCTACGGACAGGCTAGCTGAGATCCATAAGGACACGCAGTCACTGCGGGAGCCTTGCACTGCAGCTCCAGAGGGCCAGCTGGAGCACAGGGAGTGCAGCTTGGTGGCACCCTGCTTCTCATTCAGTGAGCCCCCAGGGTCAGAAGAAACTGACTTCCTCCAAGCCAAGCCAGGGAGCCCCACGTTGACCATGCACTACCCAGGCAGCGAGAAACCCCGCATCTGGTCCCTGGCCCACACCGCAGCAGCCAGAGCTCCAGCTCCCTCCAGACCACGAAGTTCTGAGTGCCATCTGATTCCCAGACAGCCTCCAGGCCCAGGCCAGCGATCCACGGTTCCCAGAGACTTCACATGTGAAGAGTCTTCCTGTATAGCCAAAGCCTTTGGAAACCCCACATTTGCCCTGCAGGGACTGCCGCTGAACTGTGCCCCCTGCCCACGGCGGAGGGAGCCTGCAGTGCAGTGCCGGTACCCATCTGGAGCAGAAGGTAGTGGGTCCCCAACAGGACTGAGAGTGTCTGTCCAGACATAGCATGTCCTGTGTGCTTCTTGGGCATGCCCAAGTTCAGACCTGGCCCTGAAACTCTTCTACAGCCCTCCTTGAAACAGAAGCTTAGAAATAAAAGTACTAGATCCCCCTAATTTAAAGCCAAATAATAGCAGTAAGCTCAGAGTGAGACAGTAACTTACCCAGGATCACTTGGAAAGTCACTGAAGAGACAGACAAAACTAGATCTCTACACTCGTGGCCAGTGTTCTGCCAAATGTGTCAGGTGCACCATGACCTTCTGGCACAAGCACCCTTGTCCCCTGCCTACCCTTCAGAGGAGGCCAACTGGCCCTCGCTGTGCTTGTCCCAAGATTTTGCTAGGGTTGGGCAGGCACCAGGGCTTTCCAAGAAATCTGAGGGGACGGGCCAGACACATACAATGGGTTTAAGGCCAGTGCTTAAGACCAGCTGGCATTCCTCAGCACAGCCCACTAAACCCCTGGGAACTGTAGTGGAGGGCTGGTGCCCTCCCTGGAGGGTACTTATCTCCAAAGCCTCACCTTCAAGCAGGTGTAACTGCCAATCAGTGTCTCCTGCCCCTGGCTGCTTCTCTGGCTGTACCTGGTGGAAGGGGATTTCACCCCACAAAGGGACATTCCCCAAATATTATGCAGGCTCCAGCCTCCAGCCTCCAGCAGTTACTGTCAGATTCTGCTCTTTGTAGTAATTTCTCTCAGGATTAGTTTAGTGGCTTAGAAAATTGGGTCATACTGCTACTTGAATTAACACATAACAGGTCCAAATGTTACCTCTGGCAGGCAAATTGCCTCTAGACTTTTGATTCCCTTGGGATGAGACACCACTGACCTCTGATTTCCTAGGACTCGCCATCAAGCGTCCTTCGGGTTTTAATCAACCTTTCCTCTCTCAGCAGGTTAGCGCAATGGCTGCGATTTGCGGAAGAATCTTGGAAATAAGCCCCCTCTTTCCAACTTACCTCCACGCTATGAAACTGGGAGACCTTGCCAGGGTCCGGGACTCTCACTTCTCCTAAAAGACAGACACACAGAACCCCTCCTACCGGGCCTACTCCCACGCAGAGCTGGGAGTGGCTGGCAGACATACATCTTGTCAGATCCTGCGGAGTTGGTGGCCCCCCGCACACCTTGGGGAAGGACAAGTGGGAAAGCTGGGCGAGTCTGCTCGTGCACTGACTCAGGTTACCAAGTCTTTCTCCCTCCTCTTGATACAGGGTCTGAAGCCGCTCCTTCCCCGCTCACCCTCATTTTGCAACTCCACGCTGACCTGGCGCCTAAGGACCACGTGCTTCGTCTCCCTCTCCCCACTCCTTGTGTCCTTTAAAAATAATCAAGCCGAATTCAAGCTATTTGGTCTATCTGTGCCAGCGGCGCTTGGGGAGTCGGGGTGGAGGCGAGGATGGAATGTGGTCAGGGGTTCTCGGGCCGGGAGGAGGGGCCTGTAGACCTCAGTCCCTTTCATCACAGGAAGAGAAACTGGCAAGGTAATGGGCAAGGCCGTGGCGTCTGGGGTTCAGCCTACCAAATGCTGTGTGCAACCAGCTGGTTGTGCCAAAGCTGACGCCCGGCCGGTTCCTGAGCTTTGGAGGCGGAGGGGTGATCCCGAGCAGGGGAGAGGGGCAGAGCTGTCAGGATATTTCTCTGGATATTTGCATTTGTTTCGGCTTTCGTACTCGGGTTCTAAGTTTATTGGGAGGAAGGGCGTTATGGACAGTCCTGGCCGACCCTAGGCAAGCCGCTAGGACCCTGCGCTCTTCCCGAGGGACAGAGTAGCTAAGTCTGGCGGCTCGCGGGGTCCCTAAGAGGCGAGAGGGGGACTTGCTTTCCGTTCAATCAAGTGTCAGCAAACACTTCCGGTACAGGCCAGCCAATGGGAGCTGACGGGCGGGGAATGGGGCTGTGTCCCCTTAGCAAGCGAGCTAGGGGGTGAAAGATACAAAGATTTCCTGCGCGCTGCAGAGTCCCGGGCCTAGTGGCTTCGGCTTTGACCCTTTATCTCACCGGGAAAAGGGAGGTGAAATTGGCCCAGTACCCTGGAAGAGAACTGCGGGGAGCTGATGGAGGCGGGAAGGCAAGAGGACGGGCTCTGGGGGTGCGCCTCCGGGCTGGATCCTGGCGGAGCTGAGTCTTCACTGCTGGGCTCCCCGGCCCGCCCCGGCTGGGTGACGGTCTTCCCAACCTGCGCGGTGCCAGGCCACCAGTCGCCGAAGTCGGGAGGGAAGGGTCCGCGTCCTCGGCAGGGATTTTAAGACTCTTGGAGGCTGCGGGGAGAAAGGGAAGGTTGGAAAACTGCGGGGAACAGGAGGCACGCCACCTCCCAGTTCCACCCTGACTTCTTTTTTATAAACGATTGATCGGAGTCGAAAGGGGCTTCGAGATCATGAATTACAAAAATGCAAACGTCTTCCTCAGATGAGGAAACTGAGGGCAAATGGGAGAGCAGGGGACTGGCTCAGGGTCACACAGAATCCGTGGTGGCGACAGACCCCTCTTTCCACTCCGGGCCCAATGCCCCCTTCCTCTTCACACTCCCCCGCCTCGCTTCCTCTGGGAGATCCCCTCCCTGCTGGAGTTCTGCTTCAGGGCAACAGCTGCTACTACCTCCAACCTCCCCCGGGACCCTCCAGTCGCCCTCACTGACCCGCGGCTTAGGGTCCAGGAAATTAAGCTGCGAAAAGATAAACATTATTTCCAGTCGGCTTTGCGGGATTAACGCTGGTAATAAAGAGCATTAGCTGAAGGTTTCTTTCAAGGCACTCTGGACCCCACCCGCTCGTGGGGGGCCCGGTAGAATCTTAGCGAGGCTGTGGAGTCTGCAGAAGCTTGTGCAGTAGGGTCTCCAGTTAGGACTGGGGCTCAGGCTGGCCATTTTCTGGAGGGGAGAGGGGCCCTTAGCATAGCACTGAGTCGGCACTTGGAGACAGGAAACTGAGGGCCAGAGAGAAGGGATCCACCTAAATCCAGGTCACTTGTCTGAGCAAAGACTGGGATCCAGAGAGGGGAAGGAGTCGGGGAGGGGGGAGCAGGGAGGGTCCTACCTGCTCAGACCTCCAGCCATTAGCCTTTTATAGAACAGTGAGTCCTGAAAAAGGAGGCCCACCCCGGGTCTGTCTGCCTACCACCCAGGACCCCAGAAGGTTGTCTCTCTAGCTCTCATCTGGGAGGCCTAGATTTTCCCCACCTCCCCATCCCAGAGCAGAAGCCTGCAGCCCAGGGTTGTCCAAAAAATCTAGACCTAGAGTGGAGTGTGAAAAAGGCTGAAAAGAGTAGCCTGGAGTCCAAGAAAATAGCTTTACCATCTCAACTCTATCGCTACTTCTCTGTGTGGTCATGGACAAGCCCCTTCCCCTCTCTTAGTTTCCCCAGCTGTAAATCCAGAGGGTATCTGGTTCTCATCCTGGTGCTCAGTGTCTGCCCGAGGGCTGATGGTGTTCTCAAGGAATACAGTGGAGGGCCTGAGAATGGTACGTCTGAGCCCGGGATTATCCCAGCCTCAGGCCCCCAGGAGCAATCTGTTCCCACCATCTCTGCCCCCACAGAGAGCCTCCTTCCAATCTCCCAATATAATCTCCCAGAATCATATTTTTGAATACTGTTTTGATTAAACACCAGAGCAAGGGGAGGGAGGATGCAGCTCGGTTCTCCTCTGCTGAGCCTGCAGGAGCCCACAAGCAGCTGGCCTGGGAGCTCTGCACAGTGGGTGTCAGTAAGTGGAGAAAGGTTTGGAGAGTCTGTAGGAGTTGGATCTCCAAACTTCCTACATAACTGTAGTGTCCCTTCCCTCTGCTGGGGAGCAACCACCAGGGAGTTAGGGTGAGAGGAGAAGCTGAACCAAGGGAACCACCACCCCAGTGTTTTCCTCCTTAATTGATTCCTCTCCCACCAGGAGTTACTCCCTGGGCAATGGACTCACTAGATGTTCACTAGGATGGCTTTTGTCTCTCAGATCCTAGGACCCTGGTGGTGATGGGAAGAGCTTCCGGAGTCTTTACCATGTGCCAGACTCAGTGCCATGTTTTTTAAACGCACTGACTGACTTATACGTCACCACAGTCCTAGAGAGCGTTATACTGTACTTACTAGCATACATATCTAATGAAAGAGGAAACAGAAGCTCAGAGAGGTTAGGTAACTCAGTGTCAGTTACCCAGCTAGCAAAGTAAAGAAGTCCAACTCTGCATATGACTTATCCTTAACCTAAATTAAACTCTACTACTTATGTATTTTATTAAGATCATTTTTCCTATTAGGAATAAGAGCCTATGTTTCTGAGACTCTAAATGTCTGTGAATCTATTATCTCATACTTCTGTAACTCCAGGTGGCCCTACTTCCTTCTGAGGAATATCCAGTGGGAAAGAACTTCTGGTGCTACTGGACTCATCCCATACGCTGCTGAGGGCATCCCGCACCATTCCCACTGCCCACATTTCCCCAGTACATGACTGTCTGAAACAGCCCTGGTCAGGGTTTGGCAAAATGTAGCCCATGGGTCTCCACCATCAGAATCAGCCCACAACTAAAGCACCACACTGGGAGGTGGGCTGGGAGATCTGCTTTTGTAACAAGCACAGTAGGCTGATGGGCTCCTAACCTGGAGAAGAGGTGGCTGAAGCTCAAGGGTCAGACCCTAAGCTCAGTATGAGGGCTTAGGATACCTGCTGCTGGCCAAGGGCAAATCCCAGTCACAGGTGCAAACATTTCCCGGAGGATTTAATCTGGACTCACATTCAATTCCTCATAGGCTTCAGCTTCCCCTCTGTGAACCACCACCATCCTGAGGCTCAGTGTTGTTGTTATTAGAAAGGAGGAGGCAGTCTAGGAGATTAACCTGCCTCTCTCAGCAGTCTGAGCACAAACTAGCATTCCAGGGTTGGAAGCATCTTAGGCGTCCCCTGCACCTCAGTGAGTAAGAGAATTTTGTCCCTAAACACAAGCACACAATCAAGAATCCCTATGCATTCCAGGAAAGCCAACAACTGGAAGGAAAGACTCTATCTTAAGCAAATAAAAGAACTGGTGGAGGCGTGGGCCTCTCGCTGTCTCCTGACGCAGCCAGTTCTAGCCTCAGCATTGGACAGTTCTTTCTTGTTTGAATCAAATTCTTTTCCATGTACTTTCTGAACTCTGTCTCCTGAACCAAAAAGTCTTGCTCCTCTCTGTGATTCATTCTTTCTCCTGCCCTCTGTGCCTCCACTTCCCCACTCCCACTCAGTGGAAGTTGTTTGGCCCTTACTCTGAGATGAGAGTACGAATTGGGTCTAATGGCTACCCTCCAGTTGCAGGCAGAGGACCACCCTCCCCAGCATGATTTTCTTCATTAAATGTAAAGATGGAGAAACAGTGACCTGATTTCTTGGGCAAGTTACCAAATGTCTCTGAGATTCGACATCTACCTGGTAGATTGGGGTCATCAGAACCCAAGTGGCTTTTTCATGACTTCCCTAGTTCCCTTGCAGGTGCCATGAGGACATGCAGATGAATGTTACTTGAATTCTGGTTGGTGGCAAACCAACTCCACGATTTTTGCCAAGAGTTACAGAGATGTTAAGTACAGCTAGCCCTGTGTTGGAAAAACTTCCGTGTATCTTGCTGTGTTTTTCCTTGACTCTCACATTTCTACCACACTCACAATACTTCTGACACTCTGGTCACCAAATATGGTGTGGGGGGCATATCAAGCAATACTCTGTGACAACAGCTGGAGAGCCTACCATTTAACTCAATTCTGAAAGTAGTGCCATTTTCACCTAGGAAACTACATGGGTTTGGGGAACTCTATGCCAGGAACTGGGGGCAGAGACCATTCTGTATATTTTCCATTATCTCACAAGCACTAAATGAAGGCTTCTCCTTTGTGGTATCAGAGGATTGAAAGAGAGCAGTAAAGGAATGATTTGGGTCACTCTGAGATACAGCATTATTTAATGCCATAGCCAGCTTGCTTCACTGGTGGTACACATCCTCCTCTTTGGTGAGTTAGTCTGCATTAATGTAGAGTGTGATTATTGTTTATGAGGTTATCAGAGACTGATGTCTTCCCACATTACCTGGGGCTGTCTCCAAATTCCAATCTGGCTTTATTTAAAGTCTTAGAGAACCTGCCCTAGAACATTGATGCCAACCACAGTAATGAGGATGAGTCTAGAGCAGTAGTTCCCCAATCTGGTGGTGCATAAAATCAGCCAGGGAGGTGTTTTGTTTTGTTTTGTTTTGATTTTTTTAGTACCAATACACAGGCTGTACTTCAGACCAAGTAAATACTGCTGGAACTCAGCAGTATTTTTTAAAGCCTCCAAATCATTCCACTGTGCAGCCCAGGTTGAGAATCAGT